AAAAAGGAAGGGGGGTTCCTTCCATAAAGGTCAGCTGGTATGGCTAGACTCTCGGACCTGAAATTGCTGTACCCATCCAGGAAACTAGCCCCGAGGTGAGAAGGGCCGTTCAAAGTCCTAGACAAGATTGGAACGGTTGCGTACAAGCTAGACCTCCCTAGCACCTGGCGAGTCCACCCCGTTTTCCACGAATGGCTTCTATCTCCCTACTCGGAGACGGAGATCCATGGTCCGAACTACACGAGGCCACCTCCTGACCTTATCGAGGGTGAAGATAACTACGAAGTCGAAGCCATTGTCAGACACCGAAAGAACAAGAGGATGCGACACCGGGAATATCGCGTCAGGTGGAAGGGTTACTTGACAGCCGATGACTCATGGGAACCTGAAGCGAACCTGACTGGGACAGCGGATGAAGTGTTGGCAGAGTATAAGAACAGGAAGAACTTGAGCTGAGTCGACAGCAGCTCTACCCAGTCGCTACATCCCCACTTGCACCAACATGTCTTCCACCCTCTCGTTCCTCGACCAGTTCAACACCCCCTCGACCGAAGGCAGGAAAAGGATCTCAATCTACACCCCTAAGCACACCCACGTCAGCAACAGCACCTTGCTGACGCTCCTCCTTAGTAACCTCACCGACATTTTCAACAAGCTCAAAGCCCACAACCCCAAAGCGACCAATGCCACCGACCGCGCTGCACTAGAAGCATATCTCTCTGCCTGCCGCGACTATGACGAGGCTGTCAAGGCAGCCGACGAGGCCATCGACCACCACAAATGGCTCCTACGCCAGCAGGATGACTGCGTCCTCACTGAGCTCATCTGACTCGATAATCTGAAAGTCGCCCACTGCTTTCAACCGCTGCTACCATGCAACATTCGGGCACAGCACAGCAAATTCATCCCACGAGCCATCCCCAACATGTACCTACCTCTACCTGCACCCCTACCGACATCCACCTTCAGATGACCCCCGATCCCGTCCCCTTTTCTCCGGGCCATCCCGCGAAGCACTACCATCCCGGCTGACTGGCAACCCAACCCTGGTTGGACCCCGAAGGGAAGCTGCAGGCGATGCGGATCGTCTCGACACTGGGTACGGGACTGTCTGGACATACGATGCACAGGATGCGGAAAAGAAGCCCCTGGACACCTGGAGCGGAAGTGCGGAACCAGGCCGATGAAGCGACACATATCCACACCACCTGAAGAACCTGCGTGACACATGGGGGTGGTCGTCAACAACGTGTTCATCAAGGGGATCATCAACAAGGCGAAGGAGAGGAAGGCGAAGGAGAAGCAGACAAAGGCGATACCCGTTCCCCCACTGCGCGGCACTAACCCCATACCTCAGACCAACCCAATTGCGGGATCTTCACGTCCTCGACCTGATACACCCATCGTCTTTCGCAAAGTCGACCCCGACTGGACACCCGACACTACTTCCTGGATGTGGGACAACCCCTGGCTACGGCAGGAGCACCTCTTGGGTGAGGAATGGAAGGACATGGGGAGGAACACACACGGTGAGTGGTTCGACGAAGACCAGGACGACGGCATAGACTGGGAGTTGTTTGGGGATGGGGAGCAGTAAGTAGTCAAATGGGACTTCGACTCTGGCAGGGGGGTAATGAAACATTTGTCTTTCCCTTTCTATTCCTTATACTACTAGCGCCCATACTGGCGCCCATCTTAGCGCTCACCCGCAGGTTGAACATTATGTAGCTTACATAATGGGGTCCATGCGCACTTTGTACTCGACATCGTACCACTGTGTTTCTTTCTTCACTAACGCGACCATACAGACACGACGGTCCGTGCACAGTCGGTACTTGTATAAGTAGTTGTACCATTAGTCGGTCGAACCCTAAGTTCGACCTGGTTATCTATTCAACTCTTTGCTCCTCTCCACTTGGGGTAGTGGTCATTCTCGACTTCCTCGCTCGATCTTCAGGACGACGCACTGTCCATAAGCCCTCGCTTGTCGTCTATGAGTCAGGCATCAATACAGTATAGGCCGTTGTATCAAGTGCCGCTCCAGCGAATACCGAGTTGGCGGACTTGATCGCACAGGTGAAGTCGATGCACGAGGAGCTTGAGCACTATCGGGCAATGAAGGAGAAGTCTTTTTGATCCAGTCCGTGCTTCGTGCCGCACGCGTCGGACCTTGTAATAATAATTTGTACAATGTATTGGCGACCGCAAATGTTTACAAGTTGGACCATGGGTCCCAGCACTTCCACATCCCGGTATGCCTCAAAGGGAAAAGATGGCACAAGGACATAATCGCTATAGTGGACAGCGGAGCCACCACGAAGTTCATTAACAAGCGATTCATTACGGAAAACAAGATGCAGACGCGGAGGCTAAAGGAGCCGATTCTGCTATACAATATCAATGGCACCCTCAATAAAGATGGCAGCATCTCAGAGGTAGCCGTCCTCGAGATGCAGATAGGAGATCACGTTGAGAAGACGGTGTTTACGGTTACAGACATTGGTCCGGAGGATGTAATTGTTGGGTTGGATTGGCTGCGAGAGCACAACCCCAAAATTAATTGGGAAACAGGCTCCCTAAGACTGTCACGTTACCCTGAAACGTGCAGCGCCAAGAAAGCTAGCCAAATGGAACAAGCAGTGACTGCGCGTGATACGGGGGTCAGGCCCGCAGCGCACAGGTGTTCTCTGAAGTCCAAACAGTCAGTTATAGGCGCCTGCCGGAGTAAGGTACTCCCGGACTTCGAACCCGAAGAAGATCCGGTGGAAGTAGAGTGGGATGAGACCGACTTGATCGAAGCCTGGGAGCAAGGTATCACGCTTCCCAGCGCCCCTCAGCTGTTTGTCGCGGCAGGGCATACGTACTCCCAGCTGTTTGCTGAGGAAGAGATCAAGAAGAAGGTCGTTAAGACCGCCAAGGAGTCGGTGCCCAAACAGTACCACGAGTTTCTGAAGGTCTTCTCGAAGGAAGCATCAGAACGGCTACCCGAAAGAAAGCCTTATGATCACGCAATCAAACTCGTGCCCGGCTACTCGACATTCCATTCGAAGGTGTATCCCTTGTCGAACAACGAGCAGGAGGAACTAGACAAGTTCCTAAAGGAGCAACTAGTGAAGGGCTACATACGGGAATCGAAGTCACCCATCTCGTCCCCCTTTTTCTTCATCAAAAAGAAGGAAGGGACACTTCGACCCTTACAAGACTACTGCCAGTTGAACACGATCACTGTTAAAAATCACTACCCTCTGCCGCTGATCACTGAAATGGTGGACAAGCTCCACAGCACTACACTCTTTACGAAGTTTGATGTCCAATGGGGATACAACAACGTCCGGATCAAAGCCGGTGACGAGTGGAAAGCGGCCTTTGTGACTAACCGGGGGCTGTACAAACCCCTGGTGATGTTCTTCGGCCTCACCAACTCCCCTGCCACTTTCCAGGCAATGATGAATGAGATCTTCCATGATCTCATCGTCGGCAGAAAGATCCTCGTGTACCTGGACGATATACTCATCTTCTCCACCAACAAGGAGGAACATGAGAGGGTCACACGTGAGGTTCTACGCTGCCTTCAGGATAATGATCTATTCCTGAAGCCTGAGAAATGCAAGTGGGACGTCCCCAAAGTCGACTATGTCGGCTATGTGTTCGGTGGCGATGTCGCGACTTGAGGTCAAGCGACTGAGGAAAACCTATAGCTAGGGGCGTCCGACTGATTCTCACCGAAGCGATGGTGAGCGATGCTCAAACCTAAGGCTAGGGACAAGAAATGTATTAGTTAGTGTAAGGTAAGTAAGAGGATACAGGAGCTTACTGACCTAGGGACAAGAGGTCGAAACTGAGGTCCCTAGGGCAGCAGAGGCCGGCTTATATACATGGGGAGATAAGGGCAGGCTGTGCGCACTGGTCCGTGCGCAGCTGGTCCGTGCACAGCATGCTGACGCGGCCCCAGGGGCCGGTGAGTCAGAGAGGCTGTGTCAGCGGAGCCCGAGCTGTGCCGTGCACTGCCGCCCCATCTAATCTAATTGTACAGTAGATATGATGCGTCCGTATCAGGCATGTAGTACAGAGGTCGCGGGTTCGAGCCCGCAAAAAGGAAAAAAATTAAAAAACGGCTAGACGCCGTGTCAACTCATGACATTACCCCCCCCTCAACGGCGCATGACCTCATGCGAGGTGCCCTTGCCCATCTCCCACCCGGAGCGGCAGCATGCTTCAGTCAGCGGCGATGGCATTGGCTGGAAGTTGAG